TTTGTATGGTTTTTGTTAGTGAAATGACAACTACAATAGCAGTTGTTATCTTTACCTGTTTTCCTAATTTTAATCAGCATGCTTTGTTTTTTTTCTGTCTACTAACCATTTGCAATCTTTCTTCAGTTACCTGGCTTCGCCATTGGGGGATTAAGTGGTGGTGAATCCAAGGATGACTTTTGGAGGATGGTTGCCCAGTCTTGCCGCATGCTGCCAAAGGATCGTCCGCGCTATCTAATGGGTGTCGGCTTCCCTGTAGATATAGTAGTTTGTGTTGCCCTAGGCGTTGACATGTTCGACTGTGTCTATCCTACGCGCACAGGCAGGTTCGGACAAGCTTTGGTTCCATGGGGCCAGGTTAGCATTTACTGATCATTTTACAGTCATTCTAGTTTTTAATAGATAGCATACCGATATGCTACTAAATAAGATTCCACACCTACCCCTAACCCTTTGTTTTTAAAGGCCTCTATGCACTCGTGTTTTAATTAGATCTCAATTCATATTATGAATTTGCCGCGATGTTTACATTTACCGAATAACTACGTTTTTTCTTCCTTTTACTATTATTTTTCATTCGCGCTTTAAATGCCTTTTTCTTGCACAGGGGATGCCCAAATGAGTTTATTATTTATGATATTTATGAAGCTTCACTCATATTAATATAAGGCTAGTTATAACTGAGAAATTTAGTCCTGATTGTCAATCTTTTGTTTTTTAAATACCAATTTTATCAGCGACTCCTCTTTAGTTGGTCCTGAACTTCCCACATAGGGGATAAATATTTGTTAAAGTCCATTAATTACGCGAGGATTCCTTTATCTCCAATAAACCCTACTATGTTGTTTATATATCTTTAATTTCATACTGACACCTTTCATTTCGTTTGAGAAGGCTGGTCGAAGGGGTTCGAAGATTGGCCCCACCGGGTACCGCAGGAGGGTTGCCTTGGACTTTTTTATGTTGAATTGTAGGAAGAAGATCTCGGCTCACCGTCCTACGACCCCAATGAATCCTTTCTTAACCATCGGGAGGGTAGGAGGGTGATCCACAGTCTTCTTCACACAATCCAACAGACAAGTCCAAGACAACCCTCCTTCGGTAGCTGATGAGACCAATCTACGAATCCATTCCACCCGCATTTTTAAACGAAATGAAGGGTATGTCAGTATCAATCCACTAAGGGATTCTTCGAAACCAAGCTTCTCTTCATATCCTTTATTTCTTTTGAAGCAGCGAGTGGAATGGATTCGTAAGTTAGTCTTACCGGAAGTCGAAGGGGAGTTGCCTTGGAGCCTTGATTTTAGATTTATGTAAATAAGCCCTCACTTCACCATCTAGCGACCCCGGTGAATTCTCACTGAGCTTTCGTCCATCATGTGACGGTTATCGTTAGAGCAATACAGTATGCTTTACGAGAATTTACTAAGCGCAAAGACAAGAAATGTGTCCAGCTGCAGCCAACCTACTTCTTATAAAGTTGGTTCGACCTTGTTTTCGTAACTTGGTCGAAACGTCTGGGAGACCTTGTGGAACGTACCTAGTCCTATGTCCTCTGTCATAGTATTCATGATTTCCGGCATTGAACTATTGACTTGGTACATTCGCAAACGTTTCGGCCGCATCGTGATCTTATGGCCTATCTTTGTCTACTTATTGAGACATCCCATGATTTGTTTGGATATCCCATACCTTCCAACATGCTTGTTCATTTTTGAATGAACTACGCGTTACGTGAAGTAACTGCAGCTGAAGAGTAAAATGAATGTATTTTGACCGAAAAGTTGCATCCTCTCCTAAATCCTTTACACTTTTGACCTTACAATGTTGCGGCATGTGATTGCAATCAATTGTACGTTTGTTATTTGCATGCAATGTTCGTGAGAATTGTGGGATGTGATAGTAAAGTCCAGCTTTGAGGCTAATCAAGTCTCCTCTTGCTCAACGGTATTTCTTGTTTCCTCTTCCTCTTTTCTATCCTATTGAACAACCATAATTAGTTTCCGCTTGATTAGACTCAAATCTGGTTTTCACTTTTACACCCCACGCGTCTTACGAGCATTACATGTACAGAGCGCACATGCACTTGAACACAATCGCATACGGCAACATTGCAGGATCAAAAAATAAGTGATTTAGGGTAGGATGTAGATGTTTGGTCGCAATTGCATCTATCTCGCGCTTCATCTGCAGCTACTTTGCATGTCAGCCACTGAACAAGCATGTGGGGAAATCATAGGATATCCAAGCAAATTATGCCATGTCTCATTAACTGAACCAGGTTAGCTATAGAACGTAGGTAAGATTGCAGCCTGCCATCTTTCTTGTCTTCGTACTTGGTAAATTTTCCTAAAGTATGTTGTCCTGCTTCGACGATTTTCGTCACATTACGGACGAGATCTCAGTGAGCCGATCACTTACTCACACCTCCAAGATAACCTCTCTTCGAGTTCTGGTGAGATCAATTTACGAGTCCCTTCGATGAATTGATAGGCACTCTAACGTTAATCTACTAAGGGATTCTTCGAAAACCGATATTTCTGCTTACCTACTATAACATGTCCTAAATTATTTAATATAATATGTATTCACGCTATTTCGTTTAAGGTGATGAAGAACCGGTAGTAAAATTTTCCCACAATGATATGAGTAGAGCTGATGTTTCCATTAAATTTCACAAAGCCTTGCTTTCCCAGAAGTTGTTTTCATCTTTTAGCAAATCAAGGCTTTGCTAAATTTAATGGAAACATCAGCCCTACTCATATCATTGTGGGAAAATTCTACTACCGGTCCTTCATCACCTTAAACGAAATAGGGTGAATACACATCATATTACTAATTTACTGGTAGTCTCGAAAATCTACTTACAAACTAAATTATTTAGATTATTCAGTTCCATTGACGATTTTAGCTAAACTTGTCTTTGTATTTGATGTTTTTTCTCGAATGTTTGTCATAGGTTAGTCTGCGTCTAGCTGCCTACGCAAAGGATTTCCTTCCGATAGACTCGGATTGTCAGTGTCCGGCATGCTCTCGTTGCATTCCACGAGCCTGGTTCCACGCAGCGCTTGGTGGTCGGCAGACGAACGCTGTTTCACTTATCAGCCTTCATAATCTCACCTATATGCTGGGCTTGATGCGCCAGCTACGTGAAGCTATTTCATCTGGCCAACTTCCTGACGTAATTCGTCGGTTTTTCTCTGCTCGCTGCCGGCCTTCGGCAATTTCATCTATGGACCCATCGTCTATAGAGATGAACCAGGAGCCAGAAGGCTGCGGGAAGTCCGATGAATCAGCGAAAGTTAGCGAGAGCAAAAAAGAGTTTGATTTTGACGGACCACCTCCTCGATGGGCTGTGGAGGCTCTAGCTAGCGTCGGAGTTGATATTTCGGATATTGGATCACCTAATCCCAATTCAGCCTCTAAAGACTCTGCCTTAGCTGGAAATTCTCCCTATTTGTCTCACATAAAAAATTCCATTGAAGAGAAAGAGAATGACTCAAACTACTCTAACTAAAGATGACTTGATTTACTTCAGCATTTATATCTTTTAGTATGTTTTAATTGAGAAAGTGGAATCAAGTTTATTTCAGAGTATTGTCTGCCTCCTACTTACATATTCATTTAACCCTTTTAATTATGAATTTGTAAAGCCAAATAAGATAATATGTATGGATGGATGCCAACTATTTTCCCTTGATATGATTGAGTTTGTTGAATATTCATTATTATTGCATATTCTAGTTCCTTGCGAAGCATTCATTGAGTTGGGCCTGTGATAGAAAATACTATTAATCTTGTTTGCTGCAGAAAATAACATTGTATTTAACAGTTTTTATTCGTGCTCACTTGCTGCGTATACATACTTACATAACTCATCATAAATTGGAAACTCAAACAAGGAACTACATCATTGTACATCCAAAGAACATCGTGCAACGTATGCGCATTACTGTGCCACCTGTTTGGTTTTTAGCCTTTTATTATAATTTTATGGGCCAATAAGATATAAACTAATTTGATAAATAAATACCTTCACAATTTTTCTTACATTTTCTAATTTAATTTAATCGTTAAAAATTATTTATAGAGATCATGTTTATAAGCCTTAAAAAATCCTTGATTGT